AGGCTAGAAGCTGCTCCCTTTGGTGAGTGAGAGACGCCAACCACCTGTGCTATCCAGGCGGGGGCATGCTGAGGATGGGGCAGGATTTCCCTGGTGCCCCCATTCCTTGTAAGGGGGACCTGGGATCACAGCAGTCTCAGTGTGCAATGTGGTCCCGTCTTTTGCACCTTTCCCTTCTTTTGACACAGAGTCGTGCTCTGTCACCCAGGCCAGAGTGCAGTGGTGCGATCTCAGTTCACTGCAGCCTCTACCTCCTGGATTCAAGCAATTCTCGTGCCTCAGCCTCCTGTGTAGCTGGCTTTATAGGTGTGCGCCACCCTGCCTGGCTAATTTTTTTGTATTTTTAGTAGAGAAGGGGTTTCACCATATTATTAATGGCTGGTTTGGAACTCCTGGCCTCAAGCAGTCTGCCCACCTCGGCCTCTCAAAGTGCTGGGATCACAGGTGTAAGCCATAGGGCCCAGCCTGTACTTTTCAAAGCACATTTGTAAATTTCTTATTTCAGACATCTTTTGATTAGAAACAAAATGTTGCATATACAGTGGAAGCCTGCTGGGTACTTCCCTGACACCATTCCCTTTTCTCCTCCTACTTTAATTTTTGTACCTTTTTTTTTTACTTTAAGTACATGTGCCTAACCACAAACAATATATAGTATTGTTTCCACACTTTCCATAAATGTTAAATTCTATGTATCATTTAGTAAATTGCAATTTTCTCTTCAACATTATGTTTCCAAGGCCGGGCCAGGTGACTCACGCATGTAATCCCAGCACTTTGGGAGGCTGAGGCAGGTGGATCACTTGAGGTCAGGAGTTTGAGACCAGCCTGCCCAACATGGTGGAACCCTGTCTGTACTAAAAATACAAAAATTAGCCAGGTGTGGTGGTAGGCGCCTGTAATCCCAGCTACTCAGGAGGCTGAGGCAGGAGAGTTCCTTGAACCCAGGAGGTGGAGGTTGCAGTGAGCTGAGATCATGCCACTGCACCCCAGCCTGGGCAACAGAGTGAGGCTGTCTCAAAAACAAAAACATTATGTTTCCAAGACTTATAGTTGACTCTTGAACAAAGAGGGAGGGAGGGGCACTGACTCCTTCATGCAGTCAAAAATCCCCCTGTAACTTTTGACTCCCCCCAAAACTTCACTTCCATTGAACAGAAGACTTGCCAACACCATGAACAGTGGAACAACACGTATTTTGTATGTTGTAGGTATTCTATATTGTAGGTATTCTTGCAGTAAAGTAAGCTGGAGAAAAGTAAACATTATTTAAAAAATCTGAAGGAGGAGAATATGTATTTACTATTCGTTAAGTGGACGTGGATGATCATCAAGCTCTTCCTTCTGGTCATCTCTATATTGAGGAGGCAGAGGAGGAGGAAAAGAGGAGGCTTTGGTGTTGCTGTCTCAGGGGAGGCAGAGATGGAAGAAAATCCAGGAACAAGTGGACCCACACAGTTCAAACCCATGTTTGAAGGGTCAGCTGTATATTGCCACATATAATAGATTTAGATCATTCATCTTAGCTGGTGTGCAGTGTCTCACACATAGGTATAATGCAAGTTATTAATCCGGTCTCATTTTGTTGTTGTTGTTGTTTTGAGACGGAGTCTTGTACTGATCTTGGTTCTAGTGGCGTGATCTTGGCTCACTGCAACTTCCGACCCCCGGGTTCAAGTGATTCTCCTGCTTCAGCTTCCCGAGTAGCTGGGATTACAGGCGCCTGCCACCACACCTGGGTAATTTTTGTATTTTTAGCAGAGACGGGTTTCACCATCTTGGCCAGGCTGGTCTCGAACTCCTGACCTTGTGATCCACCCACCTCCCAGTTCCATTTTGATGGACACTTGCCTTGCTTCCAGTCACTGCTGCTGTGCACCATGCTGCCGTGAATAGCCCACATGCCTCTGGAGCTATGTTACTTCAGCTGTTCTTGAGGGAGCTGTGACCCTGCGGAGAGCAAGAACTCTGCAACTGGGCTGACTGGGTTCGGATCCCAAATCTGTAATTTATGGGCTGGGCAACTGAGCAAGTTACTTAAGGACGCTGTTTTTTCATCCAGAAAAGTGGAGATACTAGCAGTACTTCCTTTAGAGGTTGTTGTGAAGATTAACCTGTTAGTGTCAGTGAAGCGCTTAGTACTATAAGGTGTTTAACATAATTATTATGCGGCTAAAACTTGAGCATGGGGCTGTTCTCACTTATTTGTGGGAGCTAAAAATTAAAACAATTGAATTTATGGAGATAGAGAGTAGAAGGATGGTTACCAGCGACTAGGAAGGGTAGGTGGCAGGGTGAGGTTAGGAGAGAAAGATGATGGTTAAGGGTACAAAAAAATAGGATGAGTAAAATGTAGTATTTGGTAGCACAACAAGGTGGCTATAGTCAATAATAATTTAATTGTACATTTCAAAATAACTAAAATATTATCATTGGATTGTTTGAAACACAAAGGATAATTGCTGGAGGGAATGGATACCCAATTTACCCCAATGTGATTATTATGCATTGCATACCTCTATCAAAATAGCTCATATGCCCCATAAATGTATACATCTACCGTGTATCAAATTAAAAGTGGAAGCCCCTGCCGCCGCCAACTCCGTCGCCAAGTGAGTGAGGAAGAAGGGGAGCGCAGTCAGAGCGCGGCAGCAGCTGCAGCGGCGCCGCGGCGGGGACCAGCCCAGAGAGACCCCCCAGCACAGGCGGCGGCGGTGCTGAGCTGGCGCGACCAACCGAGCGAGAGGCGGCCCCAGCTCCTTCTCGTCCTGAGCCAGCGGCCCGCGGCCCGCGCATGCACTGAGTCAGCCGAGACCCGCCTCCCGCCCGCCTGCAGGCCTCGTGAGGGAGGCGCAGAGCTGGGCGGCCTAGCGCGGTGGCGGCCGGGAGCGCGTCGGGCCCGGGCGGAAAGTGAGGAGGGCGAGCGCGCGGTGCCGGCAGCCCCCGGGGACTCGGCGCGGGAGCAGGGGTGGAGTGGGATGCGGCAGGGGCTTGCCCCCGCCCCTCCCTTCTCTCCGGCGGCGGGGGACAGAGTGACCTGCAGAGCCTGGAAAGTGGCCGTGGAAATGGAAACCATGGAGAGGCCGAAGCCCACCTCAGATTACCTGATGCAGCTGAAGAACGACAAGAAGCTTATGAGCAACCTGCCCAACTTCTGTGGGATCTTCAACTACCTTGAGCAGAGACTGAGATCTGGAGCGTTTGTGACTTGCCTATGTCTGAAGACAAGTTGGCAGCAGAGCTGGAGCAAGACACTTGCTTCTCCCCTCTGTTCCATTTTGTGGCGTGTCTCCACAAGGGGAATTGGAGGGAAAAACCTGGAATACTTCCATATGCTAAAAAGCTGCTGCTGTTGCCTCAAGTTGTGAAGAAATGAGCAGAGTACGGAAAGACATGGACAATGACACATTGAATGGCAGTACAGAGAAAAGGAGTGTAGAATTGCCTGATGCTGTGGGACCTATTGTGCAGTTACAAGAGAAACTTTATGTGCCTGTAGAAGAATACGCAGATTTTAATTTTGTTGGGAGAATCCTTGGACCTAGAGGACTTACGGTCAAATAGCTTGAAGCAGAAACCGGATGTAAAATCATAGTCTGAGGCAAAGGTTCAATGGGGGATATAAAAAACGAGGAGCGGCTGGGCGCGGTGGCTCACGCCTGTAATCCCAGCGCTTTGGGAGGTCAAGGCGGGTGGATCACGAGGTCAGGAGTTCAAGACCAGCCTGGCCGAGATGGTGAAACCCCGTCTCTACTAAAAATACGAAAATTAGCTGGGCATGGTGGCGGGCGTCTGTAATCCCAGCTACTCGGGAGGCTGAGGCAGAGAACTGCTCGAACCCGGGAGTTGGAGGTTGCAGTGAGCCGAGATTGTGCCACTGCACTCCAGCCTGGGTGACACAGCGAGACTCCATCTGAAAAAAAAAAAAAAAAAAAAAAAAAAAGGAGGAGCAAAATAGAGGCAAGCCCAATTGGGAGCACCTAAATAAAGATTTACATGTACTAATCACTGTGGAAAATGCTCAGAACAGAGCAGAAATCAAATTGAAGAGAGCAGTTGAAGAAGTGAAGAAATTATTGGTACCTGCAGCCGAAAGAGAAGACAGTCTAAAGAAGATGCAGCTGATGGAGCTTGCGATTCTGAATGGCACCTACAGAGACGCCAACATTAAATCACCAGCCCTTGCCTTTTCTCTTGCAGCAACAGCCCAGGCTGCTCCAAGGATCATTACTGGGCCTGCTCCGGTTCTCCCACCAGCTGCTCTGCCTACTCCTACACCAGCTGACCCTACCCTAATGCCTTTGATCAGACAAATACAGACCACTGTCATGCCAAACGGAATTCCTCACCCAACTGCAATAGTTCCTCGAGGGCCCGAAGCTGGTTTAATCTATACACCCTATGAGTACCCCTACACATTGGCAGCAGCTACATTAATCCTTGAGTATCCTATTGAACCTAGTGATGTATTAAGTACGGTGGCTACTACAGTTCGAAGGCACGATATGTGCGTCCGTCCTTACCAAAGGATTGTGACCGCAGACCGAGCTGCCACTGGCAAGTAACCTATGACCTTCTGACCTCTGAACTCTTCACCCAATGATGACCTGACCATGCCTGCCTGCTGATCAGTTAACTGGTCATCGCCTTTGCTTGCCTGTCCTTGGTGCAGCGAGCTGAGGCACTTGTCCGTGTGTCTTACCATCTAACCAAGCAAAAGACAAAGGAATTGTTGTCCTCCAACTCAGCTTTTTTTTTTCTTGTTTGGGTGAACCTGCACTGAATAGTAGTAAAGGAATAAACCCCAATTCATCCCACAGCACCAATCATCTTTTAAGATCCCACCATAAGCGAATGGTAGGAAGGCCTCTCTTAAGAAGGGGAGACAGATGGCCCTTGGCTAAATGACAGAGGCAGTTACTGTGAGAGACTTCTAGGAATCTTTTTCTTCTCATAGCGAAGTCAAAGCTGTCTCTGAATGTACTGTGTGGTGTTGCATCATGTATGAACCTTCGGTCAGAGATATCACTGGTGAAGTGATTTCAAAAAGTATTCAAAATTCGATAGGCTGTTTAGTCACTACAGTGCCCTCAAAGGGCAGAAGTTGCAGCCTTTTTTATATTGCCTGCCAAAATTTGAAGTATTAGAAGAAAGAGTGCTATGAGAGAAAAACCTAAGGAGTTTTGAAAAGTAGTGCAAGTAACAAAACTGCAATACTACTTTTAAAAAGCTAAATATCTGAGTTAAAATTACTAAATCTTTATTTTATACCTTCTAAAAAAATATGAGAGGCCAGGCGCGGTGGCTCACGCCTGTAATCCCAGCACTTTGGGAAGCCAAGGCAGGCGGATCAGGAGGTTAGGAGATCAAGACCATCCTGGCTAACATAGTGAAACCCTGTCTCTACTAAAAATACAAAAAATTAGCCAGGCGTGATG